CGGGGCAATTGGACGAGTCCATAGCCATGTCACTCGAAATCCTTGGATGTTCGTGGCATCAATATATCTTGATAACGGGGGTACCCTTGGGCGAGTTAAATGGATAGACAAGCCTGCTGTGGATTCATATAACACGCAATTTGGCTATCAATGGCTTTGCTGCATTAACATGTCTCGTGATGAGCATGTATCGAAGGGTATTATAGTCTAAACAAGGGCATGCACCACTATAGCAGTGGTGTTTGTCTGTACTTTTCATTTGTGAATTGTATATATCGTGCCTATTTTTTTATGTGTTATTTTTTTTTCTTGCTTTAGCCACCACATTATAAGGGGGAGTCCCCCCCTCGTCTACATTTCAAAGGTCTACATTTGCTTTTCCTCTTGAGCTTGGTTTCAAAAGAAACGGAAAATCGTAACGTGATATGGTGCTCTGCCATGGGAGGCATCATTTACCTCTGCTCTTGAAGGGTTGCTTGATCAGATCGACCAACTTCCCCAGCCCGCGAAAGATATAGCCCAGCCCAAAGCCCCATCCACGGATACGCACGGTATAAATGAAGAAGTAAACCAGCGCCCAGTTGGAAATACAAAAGGCCAAGAAGATGCCAAAGTCCCTCCACTTTTGACTGGCCTCAATATTCAAGGTGCTGAGATACTGGTTGCCAACCGTGTAAGGACAATACATGCAATCGGTGCTGGCATCGGGGTTAAGCAGATAACCACCGGCACTATTCGCAAAGGCGCCCGCGTAGCTTTGGCAGGTCTGACCTGGGGGCGCATCAAAGCGAGCAGCCTCGCTATCGGCACACTGTACAGGAATCCCGTCGAGTGTTGCGGCCAACATTCCGCCAATCCAGTAAGTCGAAGGGTTGATCCAGTACATCCAGTAACGCCAAAAGACTGGCAACGCCGAGTACTGGCGGACAACGCCGTTGAATAGGCCAAAAACAACGAAGAAGAATGGCAAGACCTGTGTTGATTGTATCAGCGGGGAGGGGACTCTCCTATTTTATAGAATGAAAAAAAAAAAAAAAAAAAAAAAAAGACGCGCTTTCAATCTCGCAGACTTGGGGAAGGGCGAGGGGACGTACATTGGATATAACCGTAAAGCTCGGGGCAAAGGCACAGATCCACTGACCCCAGCTGTTCTGGAATAGGAAGAAGAGCATTGTCATGAGAAATGCGTATCCAGATACCGAGCTTTGTGTGGGAAGGCCCGTAGGCCAGTACCAAAGGACCCAATAGAGAAAGCCGGACACGATCGCCCCGGGAACCTCTGCCACTATATTGGCTGTACAGAAAGCAACCCAACCGTAGATGCGAGAAGGATACTCCCGCGCTTGCCAAAGCGCCATGTTGCCATAGAACTTGGGCACCACGCCATTGACGACGGTGGCGGGGATGGTGATGATCAAAAAGGTCGTAAACATTCGGTTCTGCATATCCTGGACCGTGTTGCCGAGCTGCCAGAATGTGAATCCATTGAAAATTCCCATGATGACAGAAGTGAAGAGCTGGCCGTAAATATACGAGGGGTCGCGCCAATACTGCCTGTACATCCGCTTGGTGAGCTCTGTGATCTGTATCCAGGTGGGAGCTGCGTACTCGCGCTCCTTTGTGGTTTGGCGTGGGTGCGACGCGCTGCTTCGTGTCCGCTTGAGGCCGTCAATTTCCTCAATGACGGCCTGTGCTTGTTCACTGTTTCGCCACTCTTCGTTCCAGTCAATCTTGGTCCCGTCGGGCTTTCGATGAGGACGGGCTGCAGTCTCGAGTATGAACTCGGCCACATTCTTTCGGGGAGGACACACAGCGCCTCGATGAGCAAAATATTCAATAACATCCTTGCCATTTTCCCCAATAGGACCAAAGTAAAACGTATTGCCACCCGGGTTTAGCGCCAAGACCATGTCAAACTGCTGGATCAAGACCGAGCTTGGCTGATGAATGGTACAAACAATGGCCTGGCCAGCCTGGCTGAGTTTCTTGAGAAAGCGAACAATCGAATAGGCCGACTGGGAGTCCAAGCCCGAGGTCGGCTCGTCCAAGAATAACAGTAGCGAGGGTTTTGCAGCGAGCTCAACACCAATGGTAAGGCGCTTACGCTGTTCGACGCCAAGTGACATGATGATGGCATCCTTCAAATCATTGAGCTCGAGGAGGTCCATTATGGTGTCGACATAGGCCAACTTCTCCGGTCGGGGGATCGAGGCATCCTGGCGTAGCAGGGCAGAAAAGTCAATGGCCTCTCGCACTGTCTGCGTTCCATCGTGGAGGTCGCCCTGCAAACAGAATCCCGTGTTGCGTTGAAATTCCGGGCCGAGCGGGCGCCCATCAACAAACATCTCGCCGGATACTACACCAACCCGCTGCCTCTGAGCAAGCGTATTCAGCAGCGTCGTCTTGCCGGCGCCCGAAGCACCAACCAGAGCAACCATGACGCCGGGTTTCGCATATCCGTTGACCTTGTTGAGCAGCTTGCGCTCGCCACCAAGATAGGGGACGGTATACTCGACATCTCTCCAGGTGAAGATGGACTCGCTTTTGCTTAGCTGCTCGAGCGCCTGTCTCTGTTCCCTCTCGGCGGCTGGCGAGTCTCCCAGCTTGCCAGTTGAAGAGCCATCGTTGTTTCTTCCGTCACTACCGCCCACCTTCTTTTCCTCATCGGGCTGCGTGAAATGTGCCTTGTCGGTGCCCTTCATCGGGTTTGGTGCCTTTTTGAAAATAATGGCACCACCGCCACTAGAAGCAAAGCTGAATAGCTCAGTGGAAATCACTGTGAGGATGATGTACAGAACCGTAAAGGCAACCCCAACGCCAAAGTTGCGCCACAAATGGGCACGGGTATAGCCAAACGACGACGACAAGTAGTCATCGCCCGCCACGGACTGCGCGTTGACATCGGCACCGCTCACAGCACAGCCCTGATAGCCCGGTTGAACGCCTGCGCCCTGGGGGACGAGTTCACTTGCTGCGCACGGCATATTCCGACCAGAGAACTCGTTTGACAAAACGCCCTCGAAACTGTACGAGACCGGATTGATCCAATACTGTGAGTTTCTCATGTCAGCATTGATTTTGTTGCGCGCCACGGGGTGCCGGGGAAAGGGTTGGAGAAGTCATGAAAAAGCTCCTACTTACTATCCAACCGAACCAGATATAGTTTAACAACAATTGCGTCTTTGGAATAACATAGCCGGTATATATGACGAGAAGGTTGAGCGCAATACCTGAAAACCGCACGGCAGTGTCAATTTCTGGAGATACACTGGCAAATAGCCGGTATAGCGCCGTTAAGCTGAATGTATTCACGTAGATGAACAACATGTAAATCCAAAATTTGCCGGCATTGACGTCCAGGCTGGTCATGAAGTACATAATGAGACCAAATATACACACTTGCACAGCAATCACGGGAAAGTCTGCTATCACGCGGCCGACGGCTACAGCAGATGGGCGGTAGAAGGCATAGTCCCTATGACGCGCTACTACAGTCCGGCCCGATACTGCCTTCATAAGTTCAGACAGTTGGAGCCAGCCAAGAAAGAGGATTGAGAAGAAGAGGGCACCACCGCGAGTGAAGGTGCCCTCTGTCGAAAGGGGCTGACCGTAGAAGATGGAGCCGACAATCAGCCCGTTGGAGATGATGATGAAGAGTTTTGTCCACAGAGTCGTAGTATCACCAAGCAGAAGCCAAAACTCCCTCTCTGTACATGCCCATACCTGGCGTGCAAAGGATACCGTGTATGGGGACTTCTTGCGCACCGTCTTTGATTTGGCCTCTTGGACGGCGCCCTCGAAACGTCTAGCGTCGTCATAGTCTGTATGGCGCAAGTGTTTCTCATACTCGTCAACGTCGCTGAGAAGCCGCTGGTAGTGCTCAGAGCTGCGGAACGCCTTTTCCAGCTCCTCGGGCGTTCTTGGGGCCTTGTCCTCAAAGCCCGGTCTGAAGCGACGCTCCACGGGGTCGGTCACAGCGGTCAGGAAGTCTGCCGTTGTCTGTCTGTCTGGGCACTCGAATCCGAGGTCGATAAAGTACTGCTTAGCATCCTTTGCGGGACCCGAAAAGATCTCGCGGCCTTGATCAATGACCAGCACCTTATCCATGAGTTGATATATACCCTCGCCAGCCTGATAGAGGGTGACGAGAGTCGTACGATTGCTAATGTCTGTCATGATCCGGAGAGAGCGGGCATAGTCCAGCGCAGTCGAGGCATCGAGGCCGCGGGTCGAGTTGTCCCAAGTCATGACGGTTGATTTTGAGGCCAAGGTCTCGGCAATGGAGACACGCTTGCGCTCACCGCCGCTGACGCCCCTTGTATACTCGTCGCCCACTTGCGTATGTTTGGTGTGGCTGATGCCAAACATCCTCATCAGCGCATCGGCAAGGATGGGTATGTCGTCCCTGGCGTGCTTCCGCGTCTTGTTCTTGAGGGCAAAAGTCAATGTCTGCCAGACACTGAGCGGCGCAAAGTGGATATCGTCTTCGCCATTATAATTGACCTCGCCTCGATACATGCTCTTTTGCTTCTCCTTGGGAATACCACCGTAGGATACGCTGCCTCCCACCGCGGCGAAGGACTCGGTATTGTTGCTGACAGCCTTCAGGAAAGTGCTGCAACCGGCGCCCTGAATCTCTAGTTAGCTCAATATCTTCACGGGTGACCATGATGAATTGGGAGAGCCACAAGCACGCACCGGTCTCCCTAGAACCAGCATCATTTCTCCGTCGCGCACACAGCCGGTGAAATCGTGAATGATGGTCCGGGTTTCAAAGTGGCCGAATCTAATGAAAGGTATCCAGCGGCAAAGAAGGCGATAGAGGTCGGGACCAAAGGTGCCAAGCACGGCGTCTGGAACTGTCCGGACCCGGGATATGGTGCTCCCGGTGCCCTCGACCATAAGGTTCCTGTAAATAACACCCACTCGCTTCTCAGAGCCAGCCTCGGTGCGCTTTTCAAAGTGGCCTTGGCGCATAAAGTCCGCCAACTCAAACGTGTCGCCGCCAGATGCGGCATCCGTCGAGTCGGCGGCGTCTTCAACGTCTGTGTCAGTTGTATGAACTCTTGCACCAGCAGCAGATGAGATGTTGGACCTTGTCGGCTCCAGAGTATTTTTACCACGGCTCTTGCGCCGTGCAATGCTGTCGGCCTTGCTGGCTTGGGAGTCCCTCGTCCGGGTCCTGTGCAGCTGCATCAGGTTGTTTCTGAGGGCCTCGTACTCCTGTATGGCGTTGTGTTCATTGACACCGCCAACATCCCGCTCTCCCCAGGTGCCATCATTGCCCAGCGCCGACGAGGAGCCCGAGGTGCTAGGCCGGCTTTGGCTGCCATCACCCCCAGTAGTCGCCGGCGCGTGAAAGCCGGGAACGGAACGGGTAGAGCCTCGATGCCATTGGTTGGTGTCGGTATGCATCCCAGAATCCGTGCGTCGCAGCGCATCGGAATCAACAGTTGACCCCAACATAATGGTGGGATACGGCTTGACTCAAGGTGCTGTAATGGACAGACCAGATCTGAGAGACAGTCAGAGGGCCCTTCTCCCCTTCTATCTGCCTCTGATCTGTCTGGGGCTCTGGGATATACCGAGCGAGTGAGCTCCGAGAAGGGCAACCCCTGAGGATAGGGATAGAGAGAAAGGAGGTCATTCAATGACGTGGGAATAAGAAACGGCGGGAGCGGGAGCAACGGGAAGAAGAAGGGGAGCAGGAGGAGAAGGAGAAAACGAAGAAGAAGAAAAGAAAAGAAAATCAACTATCAACGATGCACAACTGCTACCAGTAGAGATGAGCAATACCTCCTACCTTCCTTCCTGCCCCAAGTAGCGACGCACCCACCCACCTACCCACCACATGCAAACCACCGTGCCTGCCTACCTACTTTCCCTACATGATCTAGATACATTACTTATTAGTGCTGATCCAAGCAGATAAGATGCTCTTGGTTTTGCTGACAATTGTGTAGCAGATGCAGTGGAGCACGAGTTTAATCTCGAGGGCCCTTTTTTTTTTTGGGTCAATTTTTTGCCATCTACTTACTACCCACTGGTATGGAATGCAAATTCCGCGGCATCAAAAGGCATTACTTGTGGACTTTGTCGAGGGGAGTGATTTGCTTTGCTAAGGACCAATCCAGCTTAGCTACCGCAGGTGCAAATTGTACATTGGTGAACATGCAAAGGCGGGTTCGATATCGAATTACCCAGCTGTTATCGTCATCGGCGGCGTCACAGCTGTGCCCGCAACAGGTATGCCGCCCACTCATTGCCACTGGGCCCTAGTGCCTAGGTTAGTAGATATTGAGTTTCGACCAGACATCGGAAGGCCAAAAAAAAGAAAGAAAAAGACCCCCAGGCAGTGGGATGGATCCGTAGTAGCAGTCGGTAATGAGTAGATTCCCACTCATCTTCATGCGCTGCCGACCTCGGGGAGTGTACTATCGTCGAAGCCTGTCTCAACTACATCTCCCAAGCGAGGGACCGTGGACTTGAATGACGACATGACATGTGTGTCCCCGGCGGACTTACAGTGCTCTACAACTCCGGGATTGACAAAGAAAGGTAGACCGCTATCAACAAAGCTTGAGAAGACCAAACCAAGCTTGCCAAAAAATATCGCCGAAAAGGAACGATGCCACCGAACTGGGGACTGGTGATGGACTTACCGGAGGTTAGACGGAGACAATCAGTGTTTGTTGATTTCTAATGCGCCCAACCTAAACGCTCGCTTAGCGTTACCAACGGGCCGTTTTGGGTTATGCCAGAAACTCCACAGAAATGTTAGAGTGAGCAACCAGTCGATCACCGTCATACACTACTTCTACTTTTGTCACGATTGACTCTCTTCGTTTTAACGCTGCCCGGCTGTTGGGAGCCGGTGTTTTTCTGCGTCTTGACTAACTCAAACCGCTACTCCTTCTCCATTGCGAGTCAGGTACAGGTTAAAGAAAATATGACGTCGTGACTGGCACGTTTGACGAGTGTCCAAGTATGATTTTTTCCACTCAAGAACGTGTCTCGTGTGGTGATTATTAATTAGTACCTATATAGATACTAGGTATATAGTTTTATGAGTGAAGAATAATTTTCTGTTTGATTTACGCCGCTCGCCTAGGTGCAATGAATACATATTGGTGCTATTACTAATATTACTAATAGACATATTTACCAAGGAGCGAAAGGAAGACAGAAGAAACAGAAAGGGGGGATTATAATAAAATTCACGAAAAGAAAAAAAGACCACTGGCTGCCACAAAAGAAGACCCCTCGACTGCCCAGTCCTTTCGATTGCCCGATTTTATTCCACACCTTGACATACCGCGCTCATATGCCAGACTCATTAGTCACCAGTTATGCTATAATGACAATCCTCCTTTACCTGTACTCGCCGGTGACCTGCACATGTAGCATGGCATCATTTCCTGGACGGGGCTGACCGTGAAGACTGAGAGGAGCTACTGCCCTGGGACCGAAGCGTGGATTTGGCCGGCGACCTGCGCAGGGCGTGCGTAGAAGACGCATCCTTTGCGGGAGTATGTGTTGCAGTCCTCGCCTTACTCGTCGTACTGGCCGATGAGGCACTGTCCTTGGAAGCTTTGTTTGGCGCAGAGCGAGTAACGGTGCTCGCAGATGGAGTCTTGGCCGAGGCGGTGGCGGCGGCGGCGGCGGCGGCGGCGCGCTGCTTCTGTGTCCGCTTAACTTCTACCAATCGTGCTTTCGAAGCTTCCGAAGCCCTCTGCAAGGTCTGCAAGGTCACAGGCATGTCTCTTTTCAGAGGGCTGACGTTGACCAACATGAGTACCTTGCAGTCACTCGTAAAGCACGGGTTCAGAAACCTGGTGAGTATTGTGCTAGGCGTCGGTTGTTTTCCTTCGCCTAGCGAAGCTATGGCCATGGTCAATGACAATAGACTCTGGTTGATAGCAATACCCTCTTGTAGTTGACTCCCCTCGGTGCCTGCTTGCCCAACCCTCTCCGACCCTGCGAGATCCACGAGGTTGAGCACGCCCTCCGAGATTGTCCCCACATGTCTGCCTCGGAGTAGTGTCCTCTTGACGTAGCAGCTGAGGATAAGGTGAGATCGTGATGACTGCTCATTAAGCTTGGTCGAACTCACGACTCTTTTGTCTCTAATTTGCTTCAGCACTCCGTGGTCTCCCAGGACTCCTTTGAGCTTTGTAACGAGGAACTTGGTCGCCAAGCCCGGGTCGTTCCCTGGGACCTTGTAGATACGGCCCTCGTCATCAACCGACTCAAGATCAAACATGGTTTCTTTGTAGATCTCAACAGCGGAGAAATAAAACTCATACTTGCACTTGTCTGCCTGTTCTTCAGCGCTGCGAAATAACATTGCAAGAGCCTGTGGCATTATACCGTCCTGAGAGTCTACGTTATCGAGGTCCTCTTGATGGCTCATTGTAAAAGTCTTGCCACTTCCGCTCTGGCCGTAGCAGAAGATTGTCGCCTTGCCTCCCTGGAGCGCACATTGTACCAGATCATTGATCTCTCCAAAAACAGCATCGTTGCCGTCACCGGGTCCAAAGATTCGTTCAAAGTTGTACTCCTTGGTCTCAGTCGTCGCTTCGCCAGTCACACGCGTCCGCTGAATGGGAAGCAGCAATTTTGCCCAGTAGTTGGTCAGACTGCCTCGCTCAGGAGGGCCAAAGTCGGCCACCTCCATTTTGGCCTCGTGCGGCAAAGACGGGCGAATCCGGCACATGACGCGAATGCCCCCCTTGAGTTCCTGAATGTGGTCAAACAGACGACGACAGCGTTCTTGCTCCTCCTCGAACTGTTGAAGCAGTTTTTGCTCGTTGAGCATGCTAATCTTGTTGTTTACACGTAGCTCATGGTAGTCTCTATGGTGTGAGGCCAACATATCGTCCTTTTCCTTGGTCAACTCTCTGGAACGGGCCTTCTCTGTTTCCAGCATGGTCTCCAGATGCTTGATCCTATCCTGTGCTGTTGAGTAGAGCTTCACCAGTTCTTGCGTATCGGAGGATGACGGCTCCTGGCTGGCAATATCAACCGGACCCTCGACCTGGGATACCCCCTGGGATATGCCCGTATGCTGCATGAGGTTGACCAGAGTCTGTATCTCTGCATTTATCTCCTTGGCTATGGTTCTGCCGTGCAGGCCAATGGCATCATGAAGGCAACGCGGCAGTTGTTCTGTAGACTGGGTTGTGGATTTGTTGAACCGCGCGTGAGATTCCGAGCTCTTGGATAGTGGTGGCGTACTCCTCTGCGTACTGCTTCCCCGTCTTCGAGGTTGCTGTGGGTGAGGAGTACTCATATTGGCTGGCTCTGACTGATTTTTGGTCGTCGCGATATCGTCTCCGCCCGTCTCCCTGGCGACGAAGGGAGAACCTTGCGATTTTCAATATTATGAAACTACCAAGGACTAACTGACTGCACGGCAGTCGTCTGTCGTCTCTAGTGACTATGATTGCAGTCTTTGGCTGGGCTGCGGACATGATTAGCTGCCCTGCTACTGCTGCATTTAACTTGTATTAGATGTCTTTGTCTATTATAAAATTTCTGTGCCTCAAAGAAAACCCCGCTCTTCAAGGTTAAAGAATCGACGTCGAGCACAAGGTGCCACTGACAACGAAGATGTGATGCCGAACAATGCTTTGACGTATGTAATCGATGGTCGTGCTGTCAGGCAAGCATCGCACCTCCATTATGCCATCCAGGCACTAAATACCTAGAGGAAAAATGGACATGCTCGATGTGACAAGCCAGAGTGTCGAAATAATCATCAATATGCAAGTAAGTCGTGATTCCCAACCGCAGTCACGCAAAGACTATACTGCAGTATAACCGGCCATTTCATTTGGCATACGCCTACAAATCTGGGAGATGACCACGGATACCGGCCTTTGGTACACTTCCGTCCCTTTCCATGCATTGCAACAGTCTGCGCCGAGTTGTATGTTTTCAAATGGTCCATTATTCGTCGCTGAACGCTTACCGCACTGAAGCCCCTGTCATTGTGCATCTGCTTGATTTTGTGTTCTCAGTGATGCCGAAATTCTATATCAATGGTGACAATATATACGTGGCGGACGGTAGAAACCACCAGTTATAACTTTATGGTCATGTGACCTCTAGCTCATCTTGTGCGACCATAACAATCGGACCGTGAAGGCTATCTTGCACCGGTCGACCTTATTACCATGATGCTATATTGATGCCCTCTACACCACCGTGGTCATTGCAATTAGACGGTACCGAGATATGGACGGCGATGACCGCTTGACAATCGCCATTATCGGTGCTGGCATGGCTGGCCTAGGAGCAGCGTTGGCCCTCGCGAGGATTGGACACACGGTTACTGTCTTTGAAGCCGACAGCGGGCTGAATGAGACGGGAGGAGGGTTGCAGTTGTCACCCAACTGCACGCGAATCCTTGATGACTATGGCCTAACGGAGGAGCTGTCACCAAACGCAATGCATCTTGATGCGATCAAATTTCGCCGATACTCAAGTGGCGAGATCATCGGACAGACGAATCTGCGGCCACATATGATGGAAAGGTATGGCTTTCCCTACTGGCTTGTGCGCCGCGCCGACCTGCAGCAGGCCCTCTTCCACGGTGCGAAGAATGCCGGCGTGCACGTCTGTTTCGGCCAGACTATATCGGCCATCGAAGACGAGGACGAGGACGACAAGCGAGCCCGGCCAAGAGTGCGGTTTGGAAAGGCCGACCACGAGATCTTCGAGGCAGATATCGTCATTGGAGCCGATGGCGTCAGGAGCCGGTGCCGAAAATCAATGTTTCCGGACTCTGTCCTTGACCCCGTTCCAACAAACTCGGTCAGCCGATTTCCCTTGCCCGCTCATCTGCCACCCAGGGTGATTACTAACCACTCGAGGTGCCATAGTGTGCCTACCGAGCAGTCTTGTCGGCCGAGGCAGTAAGCAGGAATCCCGTGACAAGGCACTTGCTCGAGGTCCGTCCTTATCTATTACCGAACCCACATCTGCTTATTGGCAAGTGACCATCGCAATCATGACCAAAGTCTAATTCCTTGGACATAGTCAGTAGACTCAAATGCCTGGCTGGGACCGTACCGACAGCTCCTGGGGTATCCAATTCGAGGCGGGCAGGATTTCAACATGGTGGGGGTCCATCTTGGGCGGGTTGCTGAGCCCAACAAGTCTTCCGAGATGGTGGAAGACCTCGACGGGATGCGAAGTGAATTTAACGATTTTGATCCCGTGGTTAGGCAACTGCTTGGCATGGTCGAATCGGCGCAGCGATGGCAATTGCAAAACTTACCGCCGCTGGATAAATGGACGACCCAGTCGGCCCGGTGCCTTCTGATAGGGGACGCGGCACACGCAATGGTGCCGTTCCTCGCACAGGGGGCCTCGAGTGCGATTGAAGACGGGGCATCACTGGCCGTCCACCTTGCTGCGTGCGTCTCAAGGGACGACATCCCAGGGGCAATCAGAGCCTTTGAACAACATCGTCAGAAGCGAATCGCCGGTATCCGGGAAGGGGCCTTATATAATGAGAAGATACTGCATTTGCCCGACGGCCAGGAACAAGCAATGAGGGACAAGACCATGCAGGTATTGCCAGGCGTAGCATGTTCGAACCTGTGGTCTCATGAAGGGTTCTCACAATGGCTGTTTAATTATAAAGTTTAAATAGGTATTTTTTAAGGCGTTAATTAATTCATTAAATATTAAATAAAATTAAATAAATATCTTATTATTAAGGTTGAAAAATTTAGTTTTAGTTTTTAATTTTAATTAATTAATAATTAAATTATTTAATTTTATTTTACTTATTAATTATTATGGCATATATTGTCCCAGTCCCGTAGGCATATAGGTCCTAATTCGTGATCGTTTCCCAACGATTGCGAGCATGCTCTTTGGCCATTATCGTACAATGGTAGCAGCATGCCCTGACATTAATTAAATTAAATTAATTTATTAAAGAATTTTTAAAAGCGTTATAATTATTTAAATTAAATATATTAAATTAAAATGAAATTATATATTAATAAAATAAGCTTTTCTTAATTTTTTATGATTAAGGTTGCAATTAAGTTAATTAGCAATTAACTTAATTAAGTTAATTTAAAACTTAATTATTTAAATTAATAATTAAACTTAATTAAGTTATTAAAAGTGCTAACTTAAATTTAATTAATTTAATTAAGGTGTTAATTATAACTAAATCAATTAAATTAAGTTAATAACTTAATTATTAGGCGTAGCCTAACATAATAACTAAGCAAATGATTAAACGCGCAACGCTTAGCGTTGCTATATGTAATAAATTAGCCTACGCCTAATCCATAATTAGGAATGCATGCTTTTACCACACTCTCTTTATGACTTAATGGTGCCTAATATTAATTAACTCACTAATTTAAAGTTAATATAAATTTTATTAATTTTAATTATAATATTAATAAATAAAAACGTAGGAAAATACAATAAATTTAACGAATTAAAATACCGGTATTCTTTTATTTTTTTTATTTTTTTATTTTTAATATTAATTTTTAATTATTAATAATTTTTATTAAACTTTTAATTAAAATTTCCTAATATTAAAAAATAGATTTTACTATAAATAAAAATCGTAAAAATAAAAGAAAACATATAATTTATTTATTAAATTTCAATTTATTAAATAAGGTTGTTAAACGTAATTACATTTATTATTTTTAATTAAAATTGATTATTCTTTAAATTATTAAGTTATTAACTAAATTTAAGTGAGGTAACTCAAACTCAATTAATTTAATTAAGACCTTAAATAAAACTTATTAAGTTATTAAAATTAATGAGTAAAACTCATTAATTTAATTAGCAGCCTAAATAAAACTCAATTTAATTAAATTAACTCAAACTTAAATTTAAAACTTAAATTAATTTTATTTACCCTCTTTATTATACCTTAAAAATTTTCGTGAATCGCTTAACGCGCGGTTTAATAGCTATTATTTTTAATTATCCTAATTACGCGCCGCTACATGCGATATTAATAATATATAACCCCGGATTTAACGCGGATTAATTAATTAATATTCGTGGATTTTTATAATAAATTATTAAAAAAAGAAACGTTAAAATATAATTTATAATTTAAGCTAATTAATTATTCGCCGATTTTCATATTAGGCTAATTAAAAAGCGTAAGCGAAACGCGTATTTTTTATTTTAAATAATAAGCACGCGATCGATTAGTTTAATTCAGGGTTTAAATAATTAACTTAAGTTTCCAGTTCCAGTTCCAGTTAGTTTAAAAGCTAACTTAAGTTAATTACAGTTTATATTTTACTAACTGGCCAGTTGGTTCTAGTCAGTGTTGGAAATTATTTTTGCGGTTACTTCGTTAAATTTAAGTAATTTAAAGTTAATTAAATTACGGTCCGGATTTTTATTAACCGCAAGCGGTTACTTATTAGTTTAAGTTTGGGTTTTAATTAACCGCGGTTATTTTAAGTTATTTATAAGCAACCGTAATTAACCGCAATATATTAATAAAAATAATTATAAATTTATTAATTTAAAAGATATTTAATTAGTTTTTTATAAAATTAAATACGTTAATTAAAAAGGCTTTAATTATTATATAACTTTTATTATAAATATTTTTATTTAATAAAATATAAAATATTTTTATAATGCGGTTATTTAATAATTAACTTAACTTTTTATAGCGGTTAGCGGTTAATTTACGATAACCGTAACCGCGGTTATTTTAAGTTTAAGTTTTATATAACTGCGGTTACTTTAAGTTTAAGTTTGAATTTCATGCGGTTAACTTAACGGTTACCGTTTTCCAACCCTGGTTCCAATTAACTGGCAGTTAGTTTAATTTTATTAATTAAAAATCGAATAAAAACGTTTAAAAGAAACTTTTAATTTTATTTAAAAGAACGATTATAAAAAAATAAATTATTTTGATTATTAATGTTTTATTTTTATTATTCGATTTTTAATTAATTAATAAGTTACTTTATATAACCAGTTAACTGGCCCAGTTATTCCAGTTTAACTTAAGTTATTCTAGTTATAATTAATGCCTAGTTAGTTATAGTTAGCAATTTAAAAAACTTAAGTTAGTTCCAGTTACAGGGTAAGCTAACTGGGCCAGTTCCAGTTAGCACTCGAATATAACGACTACACTACGGGTTTTTAAAATAAACCGGAAGTGTAAAGGGTATTAGGGTTTATGCTAATAAGGAACGATAGCTTCGAAAGAAAATACTAAATAATAAATATCTAAAAATAAAGGTAATTAAACTAATTTATAAATATAATCGTTAAAGCGTATTAAATATTTTATTTATAAGTAAAATAAATGCTTAAATTAATTACTAAAATAATAATTATTTATATAAAAAATCCTTTTATATGTAACGACTATACTACGGGATCAGTTCAATCCAGTCTTACATACTCTCTGCTCAGTATACACTTGGCTAGCACTCCCTGTTAGCATAAACCCCAACACCCCTATACTTAAGGTTTATCTAAAAACCCGTAATATAATCGTTACATTTTAATCACTCTTATTCAGGTACGTTATCTAAGTCACTATTAAGCAATATTCGAATAATTAGACATTATATCTCGAAGCGGAAGCGTTATCAATAACCCAACGGGAGGACCCGATGTTTTCGCTATTATCCGTACCCTGCAGGAATAAATGCAGACGTTAAGCACTTAGAACCAGCAGCTCTAGGCCGCCTATATCGAGGTTAAAGGAGATAATAAGCAGCTTACCGAGCAAATCGCTGCCATCCCTAGACTAAGAGTTAGTTCAGGAAATAACGGATATAAAATTCCCCTACTATTTTACTATAATAGAAAAAAAGGAAGTATATAAGCCTTCTTTACCTAAGCAAAGGCTTACTTTCGGTTTTACCGTAATAATATTAAGACTAAAGAAAATAAGATCCTCGGTATCGCCGGATTTTTTAAAGGCACCGCTTTAGAATGGTTTAAACCTATTATAAAAGATTACCTTAGCAATTCCGATACCGATAGGAATAATAATACTAAAAAAATTTTTAAACGCTACTCCGAATTCGAAAGGCAACTATAAGCTATTTTCGGCAATTTAAATAAAGTCTATTTAGCCGAACGCGAATTTATGCAATTCCGATAAAAAAGATTAGCAGCTAAATATGCCGCGGAATTTAAGCAGGTTATTTCACGCACCGAGTGGACGGACCACGACGTAATAATAATATTATTTTATAATAGATTAAAAGACGATATTAAAAACGAGGTATTTAAGGAAGACCGTTTTAACGATTTTTATAAATATATAAAAAGGGTTATTAAAGTTAATAACCGATTATTCGAAAAACGACTAAAAAAAAAGGGATCTAACCACCGAAATAACGTATAAGCCCGACTATAAGCCAATTTAGGCAGATTTTTCGTAAATCGCAGCAATAAAAGTGCCGATTGGAAAACGCGCATATTATATAAATAATATAGCGGACCGATAGACCTAAACGCCATTTAACGACGTAATAAAAAAGATAAATTTAAGGTTAAATGCTATAATTGCGATAAAATAGGATATTATGCTAACGAGTATCGCTAACCTAAAAAATTAGGATTTAGACTAGTGCTAAAAGGCAAAAGGCAATTTAATAGCACTAAAAGGGATAATATACCCCACGAATCGCTTTTTTAAACGGCGTATTTCGACGATAGATGCCAAACGCATAAATCCAGCAAGGACGAAAATAGATAATACCCCCAAGCAACGAAAACCTTAGCAGCTATTAGACTAAAAAGGACCGTATATTTCGGAAAATAAGGATAACTCTAGGATAGTAACGATTACACATTATCGGATATTTTAGAAAACGAAGCACACCTTTAGACGAAATAAATAAAAAGCCAGAAATAATAAAATTTATGCGATAATACCTTTAGTAACGAAAAAAGCATTAACGTCGATATAAACTTTAATAAGCAAAAAAAAGATAAATTTATTAAATTTATCTAAAATAACGATAAAAAAACTATTATAAATAGCGCTTTTAGGAACGGAAATAGCTACGTTTACGACGCAATTATTATTATAATAGAACTATAGGACACCGCACTATAACTCGCAAAAATCCTCTAAAAGGCAACCGATACTCTATAGACCCAGCGAACCCTAGGAGCTATAATTAGAAACGACGCGAAACTCACATATTAATACCTAGCTTATAATATAATAGCTTAATACGGATATATCGACCTAAATTATAACTAATACTTATAAAACAAAATCCAAAAAGGAATATTTCTTTTAAAATTAAATAAAAACGCTATTTACCACCTTTTTAAGGCGGGAGAAATAAAAAATATAAAAATTAGTTACATCGACCCTCAAAGATTCGTAATACTTTATACACGATTATAAAATCTAGACCGATGCCTAAAAAATAAAAATAGGGAATAGGAAAAATACCTATATTATAATTGCGAATACTACGTAATAAAAAAAATTAAAGCATAGCACCTATTTAGGGAATATAAAGCAGCGGAACGCATCCGCATTATAACTATTTAACTAAAAAACAATAATACCGAAAAACTAATATAAGCCATAAGCGATAGACACAAATCCTTAATATATTCGATAACTAATTTATTACGACTAATTATTAAAA